TCAGTGAAAGTGTTCGGGAAATTTATAGGGTTTGGGTTCGCCGATCGGCGGGGCCTGTCCTTTTTCGGAGGAAGTTTACTGAGCGTACACTGTAACCTACCATTCGCGACTGTTTTATGCGTGCGTGAAAGCGAATACAGTAGCCACAATGCATACCCATACTGTTCCGTCTCAGCGAGACATCGGCCCGTGTTAGAAATAGGGCCTTCATTACCCTTCCAGGTCAGAAGATTGACGTCACACCCCACCACGCTCAGTAACTCGCGTGGCCTGTATTTCCCCGACAGCTGAGTGAACCGTCCAATTTCCGTCGGTTTTGGCTCGAGTAGGCGGCTGTGGACGTGTTTTACTGGCACACGCAAGAGTGCGACAGGAGTCGACATAGTAGGCGGCGCGCATAGAGACATCGATGCGACGTAACATCTTGCTCGTTGGCTGGCTGCTCTGAGCCGTTCCTAACATGGGTGTAGCTTTCATTATCGATGGGCTTTGCGAATCGTCATAATGGTTGCGTATAGCACAGGGCAACGCCCAGTGAGACACCAGACGCGTGGCGGCTCTCCGCTCATCAGAGCCATTGCGAGTTTGGCAGTGTGTATATTCCCATACCCAATTCCCAGATGTTAGTTCATTCTGGGTTTCCCTTTTTAACTCAACGTTTATTACGAACTCATCGTTCTGGTCATGGAACCCGCGCAGTTTAAGTCTACCGAGCCAGCAAAGCCCTACACCGAAACACAGCCCGTGGACATTGGCGAGGAAGACGAGGTAAACTCTACCACGCCGACCTCGCAGCTTAGTGGTGGGCTCTTAACGAATCACGTTCTAGATTGTTTGCGCCTGTTGAGAGTGCGTCTGACTCCCGATATGTGGCAGGAGCGGAGGAGGCTCAAGCGTTCAGGCGAACTTTGCAAAGACAAGGGGGGCTTGGGTGGGAGCGTAGACCCAGCCGCGGGACCAAGTGGGCTTGCGGCTGTACCAAACGTATCCGCCACAGCGTATAACGTGCCTGCACGCAAGAGGCAACTGGCGAGCACGCTGCAGCGTGACGAATGGCAGGCGCGAGTCACGGCGCCCTCGAGCCCTGCTCGTGACCGTTGGAGCGACGAGGTGAATGTTCCAGGTGGGTGGTGTGCATCGTTTCTTCGTTAGGCAACTCTTGCCTCTGTTCCACCTGTTATCTGATGCAACTTATTACATCCTCTGCAGATTCCAGCATGGAAATGGATCCCTATGGCCGTATTGATGCGTTGCTTGCACTGACTGCGGAGATGCTTCCAAGCATGGAGAGAAAGAAACTCCGACGCCTGTTCCGTTATTTGTCTGAATGAGTGCTTTATGTTTATGAACAAATGCCCAGTGCCGTCAAGAATCGCATTAGGGCTTGTGCACAAATGCAATTGCATAGACTGCTTGCAAAAAATATGGTGGTTGTGGGCTTAAAGCCCGTGGCTAAAAACACAAAGCAGGGGCTCACTTGAAACTGATATATTTTTCACAGGCAGAAAAAGCTTCCACCTTTTGGCTCTGAACAGAATGTGAGCACACAAAAAAACAGGGGCGACAAGGAACGAGGACAGTCATTGGCACGCGGCGATGCCACTGTGTCGACGACAACCAAACGTGTCCGCACGACAACACCGCCCTCGTCGCTGAGCCTAGCCCAACGACCACGTTGGCGACCAGCCTCCCCCCTGGCATTTTCAAGTGGACCCCCACTTTGCATTTGGTATAGTGTACGCACAAGGCGTTTTCTAGAACGTAAGCAGTTTAGCAGGTAGAGAAACGCAAAAGTAGCGCCAGTCACGCATTTCGTCCTCGATCCCATTTAGGAATACGGGTTAAACGCGCGGCACAACGTCCTCGTCGAACAAGCTTCCGACACAAGGGCCGCGACGAGCAGTATACAGCAGAAAAACAGCACAAACGCGCTCAAATCGGTCACGCTGCCCTCCCCATCCCTCCCGTCGCGTTACGCCTCCCTCCCCTCCCTCCCGTCACGTTACGCCTCCCTCCCCTCCCTCCCGTCGCGTTACGCCTCCCTCCCCTTTCTCCCGCCGCGTTATGCCTCCCTCCCCTTCCTCCCGCCGCGTTACGCCTCCCTCCCCTCCCTCCCGTCGCGTTACGCCTCCCTCCCCTCCCTCCCGTCGCGTTACGCCTCCCTCCCCTCCCTCCCGTCGCGTTACGCCTCCCTCCCCTCCCTCCCGTCGCGTTACGCCTCCCACCCCTCCATCCCGTCGCGTTACGCCTCCCTCCCCTTCCTCCCGTCGCGTTACGCCTCCCTCCCGTCGCGTTACGCCTTCCACCCCTCCCTCCCGTCGCGTTACGCATCCCTCCCCTTCCTCCCGCCGCGTTACACCTCCCTCCCCTCCCTCCCGTCGCGTTACGCCTCCCTCCCCTCCCTCCCGTCGCGTTACGCCTCCCTCCCCTCCCTCTCGTCGCGTTTCGCCTTCCTCCCCTCCCTCCCGAGCGTAGCGCACCCCGCTACTGTATATCCCTTCCTTCCTCTCTTCCCTGCCCCCCTACTTCAAGCACCCTCCTTTCTCCCCTTCCGAGAGATGGCAGAGAGGGGGGAAGGGACAGGGAGATATACGGCAGAGAGGGGGGAAATGGATGGGCTTGGGGAAGGGGATGGGTAGGGGGGCGCTTTTGCAGCAGGGGAATGGGGATGCAGATGGACGGGGGGATAGGTATGGGGAGGGAGCGGGGAGAGGGGGATATGGGGGGAGGGCTGGGGAGAATTAAGGTGGAGAGTGAGGTCGGGCTGGGGTAAGTGTTGGGTTGAGAGTTGTTAGGGAGGCCGGGCAGTTCGCCCCTGCCTCCCTATATCCCCTGCCTCCGTTTCTCAATCGCCTCCCTATCTACCCTGCTTTACCATCTCCCCATCCTCCCCATCTTCCCTGCCTCCCCATCTCCCCTGCCTCCCCATCTCCCCTGCCTCCCCATCTCCCCTTCCTCCCCATCTCCCCTTCCTCCCCATCTCCCCTTCCTCCCCATCTCCCCTGCCTCCCCATCTCCCCTGCCTCCCCATCTCCCCTGCCTCCCCATCTCCCCTTCCTACCCATCTCTCCTGCCTCCCCATCTACCCTTCCTCCCCATCTACCCTTCCTCCCCATCTACCCTTCCTCCCCATCTACCCTTCCTCCCCATCTACCCTTCCTCCCCATCTACCCTTCCTCCCCATCTACCCTTCCTACCCATCTACCCTGCCCCACCATCTCCCCTGCCTCACCATCTACCCTTCCTCCCCATCTCCCATTCCTCACTTTTGGGTTTTTTTCCATTCCCATTCTGTGAGTGCAGGCCTTCTAACTCCCTTCTTCGAGTGCAGCACATTACATGCCTGCAGTCCCCTCTGTCCCTCCGTAGGGTACAAAGTTTGGAGCGGACGTTAGGTCTCTATTGCATGGATTCCTGGGGCAGTTCGCAGAGCTGCCTAAATCCAGAAGCCTAACTCGGCTTCGTTAGTTAGCTAGTTTGTTATGTTTAGGAAAAAACGCAATGTTAGTTTAGTTAAAACTATTCGTGATATGCACTTTTGGTTTATCTGTTTGTTCGCATTCTCATCTGATTTGTTTATGGGCAATATCAGGTCTTGTTACAACTGTTACCTTTTTTAGGGAGTCGCGTATGGAAGGTGTATTTCGAAGCTGCAATCCGGACTCGATTCAGTACTTTCGTTTCTGGGTAAGGTGCAGTTCGGGGTGCAACATCGAGTGATCATCTGGCCAATTTCCAGGAAGAGAACACACCCCGAGCTCAATTGTGCTCCCTGCGATTCGCGTTGCCTGTGGATTCGCAAATCGGTTGCTGATCATTGTCGCAATCGCTTTCACTCACTTTTCATGTGCTTTCGGCCGTTTCACTCTTTCACGATGCCGATAAATTGCACTTCCGCACTTTTTATGCGTTTCAAAACATTACAGGAGTGCCCAACTTCAAGGGGGGCTCTCTTGAATTCCCCCTTGGTAATTTTAGACTGGGGCTTTAAGTCTGATGTAAAACTCTGTAACTTGATTTGCATTTTGTTGCCATTGGTGTCTTTTAAAACACAATAAGTGGAATAGAGCTGGCTGTATTCCGAGTTGCTATAGGAGAATCGAAAAGCTCGCGTATCGCACAAGATTCAGTGAAAGGTTGTGCTAGCGTCAGCTTCTGGTCGCAAAACCAGGTCTGGTGGACACCGCGCGTCTGGTTGCGTTTGAGCCCGAACAGCTGCAGGGCAAGCAGTTGCGAGGCCTGACCAAGAGCGCAGGCCAGCTTCTGCATTCGATGTTCATCAGCGGCGGCGCACCGACTGTAACGGTCCCAGGCGTTTGTCGGTGCAGCAGAGGGCGGACGAGAGTTAGGATCCTGCAGCCGCTGACAGCTCGGTTCTCACTTGTGCCACGTGTACCGCTGGATATTTCGTTTGCCTTCCCCGTACGTGTAACCAGCCAGCATATCGAGTCCCTACGTTGCACGGATTTCGCAGATTCGACAGAAACGTGTGCTCCGTAACCACGTGTACGGGACGCAGGGGGATGCGTATCGCACACATTTCGCCTGCGTGATTCGCCCCTCGCGCACCAGGGCTCTCTTGATGTGCCATTCAGAATAACGCGTCTCCCATCTGGGTCAGGCAAGTGGCCGCTAGGGTACTGGTGGACAGTGGCATGGTGTTGGCGCGTTGTTATTCCACCATAACAGGTTATTTCTTTTATTCTGTAGCGTTTAAAATATTTGGTCGAAAAGTGGGGGTTACAGCGCGGCGTGGCGACGTGTCTTGTACTCTGGGTCAACGGCATGGAGAACGACCTCACCGAATTGCTTGGAAGCGGCGGAGAGCTTACTCCCAGCGGCCGTTTACGAATCCCTAGTCAGCGCTACACTGGGAAACAATGGCACACGGATGAACGGCCGTCCAAGAAGTGTCCGCAGGGAAGGGATTCTGCAGGTCTGGGTGTGCAGCTGTCTGACAAGAATTTACGGCTGATGCATAAGGCGCTGAGCAAGCTGGCGAAGCGACATGAGAGACAAACCCGAAAGCAATGTGGCAGAACGGAGGAGGTGGAGGCGGAGGAGGGTGAGGAAGAAGAGGAGGGGGGGAGGAGGAGGAGGAGGAGGGGGAGGAGGGGGAGGAGGAGGAGGAGGAGGAGGAGGAGGAGGAGGAGGAGGAGGAGGAGGAGGAGGAGGAGGAGGAGGAGGAGGAGGAGGAGGAGGAGGATTTTACAACCTCCAAGGACCAGGTGGCTCCTCCGGCGCCAAGTTTACAACCTACGGCATGTACCCCGTATGTGAGGGTACGACCCCATTCCATTCCTTTCTCCTTTCCATATTCCCTTTCCATTTCATTCCTCTTTTTATCTTGATTCATTTGGTTATTATCTCATTCCATTTGGATTCCTATTCCTTCTTTTCCATAAACCTTTGGTTTATCCTGTTACTATCATTATATCACCAACCAGGCTCGGGATGTACTGGCGTGCTATATCTAGCGTAATCCTGCCGTAATCCCTTAAAGCCAATAGCCTCGCGTGGCTATACGCAGGGTGATTCTATTTTCTAGAAGGGTCTATTCTCTTGGGATAGGATAAACCTAGTTACCTGATGTACTTTGGAAGCATAAAAGCGCCTTGTATCAATCGATAGTGCAACCTTTCCTCGACACATTCGATCCTGTGACACTTGGTAATCAGAGCTTTTCTCACTCGGCCGCGCTCAGATAAGCAGCAGCAGCGGGACTCTTGCCTCGAAAAACCGCCAGGGGCAACCAATTCGACGCCGATTTTGGTAAGCACTAGCTCCGCATTTTTTTGAATTACCTCCTCCGCGTGTGTTTTAAACAGGATGGCGAACTCGGACAACGCCAAAGTTATCCTGCAGCTCTTCGCAAGCATCGCCGCCCTACAGGAGGAGATGCGAGCCGACCGCGAAGCTTGGCGACAAGAGTTCGAGCGAGTAACTCAACTCGCCGGCGCGCAACACGAAACGACAACGGCGACGACGTAGCAGTCGCAGCAATTTCTCGAGGCTCCAAAACCGCGCCCACCTAAGCCGTTTGATCCGAGCGATCGAAATTCCAACGTCCGCAGATGGATTGCTTGCATGGAGATCTACTTCACAGCCGTCGGATGGAGCTCGCCAGTCTGGGACGGACAACGCGTACGACTCGCAGCAACACTGATGCGAGGACCGGCACTCGAGTGGATCGGCGGTAACAGGACCTTCATCCATGGCGAAGCCACGTGGCAGCAGTTCTGCACCGACCTGCTGAAACGTTTCGAGCCGATAAATTTGGGTTTCCTTGCCCGGGAAAAAAATCATCGCCATCGATAGTTCGGGAGTGTAGCGCAGTACACGCAGCACATGGAAGAATTTTGTAACCGCATTCTCGACCTGACGGAAGGGGAAAAACTACAGTCGTACCTCGCCGGGCTGAAGACCGAAGTCAAACGATAAGTAGCAGCGACAAACTACGCGAGCTACAGTGACGTCGTTTCGGCAGCGGAACGCTTCGACATGGTCAACGCGGGGACACGACGGGCGCACGTCGGCAGTATGCGACAGGGCGACCGCTCGGCTCACCCCACATTCGCCGACCCGATGGAAGTCGACAGGTTCGAAGGGCGTCCACGTCCGAAAAACACCAACTACACGTGTGATTTTTGCGAGGTGCCGGGTCATTCATCGCAAAAAGTGCAACGTTAGCGGATCGTTTACGCCATTCGAAGTCGGCCGCATAGTCGGAAATCGACCGCCAGGTGTTCGCCAAGTGTTTTTTTCCTGTTTCGTTTAACGTAAATGGTTTGCGAGTCTTCCGCGAATGAGTTGTTTCGCGAATGAGTTGTTTTTGTAAATGTTACACCTTGATAATAATCTTGTTCTGATGGCTTATATTTCCATACAGAATCGGTTTGTCTACACTAAAACTTGTACAAAGTTTATAACATCGATCCAGGGAAGCTGAAATGTTAAAATAGACGAATTGTGTGTTTATGATATTTTTATGATAGTAAACGTACTACTACTTCTAATTTGGGCAATATCTTTGTAGAAACAGCAAGTGCAAAGTAAGGTATTGATCTCTTCAAGAGATGGTTTTATTTTGTTCCCCTCAAGATTCGAACTCGGATCTTCCAACTGTGCTACGTGCAAAAATTACTCAAAAATGAGGCTCTCCCAGGGATCGAACCCGACTCTTCACATGCGTTGATTACTACTTACTATCTGCACTGCGTATCTACTGTATACTAAAAGTTTTAAAACAAAATATTTAAAATTGGTTTTGTTGCTGGTTTCACTACCCTGCTTCCAACTGCTTATAAGGGCGTAGTCCAACAGAATCGCGGTTCCGAATCCAGCTGGACAAAATTTTGAGATCCCGAACTGAACCAAATTGAATCGCAAATTACAGCGTATTCTAGCGCGCGCGTAACCTGAAATCCAAAAATATTTGCTTAATATTTGTGTACATGGAAACACGCCCCGATTCACAACATGACGTGCATATAGAAACACGCCCCAACCACACTCCCACCCCCTACCATACCTGCACTTTGTTCCAACCAATCCCAACCCAATTTCCCCAACCAACTCAGCCCATGCACCTCGCCCAACCAATCGAAATCGGCCGAGCGATTCCAGCACGGCTAAATCCAGCTCAACCCCCTGCTCGCCCCAACCACCCAGCCCACCACGTTGCACACTTCACATGCCAGCAATCCTTGCCAGCACAGACTTCTGATCCTTCCTTATCTGCCCCCTTGCGCCCACTGATGTCTTTCAGCTAGACTTTTCTTACAGTATTATTCCATCATCAGTTCAATCTGTATCAGTTTCAGCCCCCCCTCTTGCCTTCGCACCCCCTTAGTGATTAGCTTCTTCCTCTGCCAGACTTTAACCAGTTACCATGGTCGTTCTTGGTTTACGATAACATGAGTGATATGTCATTTCGCGATAGCTGTTATTTCTATCGTTTTAATCTCCTGGTACTAATTAGCTTGTAAGTGGCTATTGTTGTTCACAATTGTCCTTCTTATTGGCAGGTTCATGAGCTAATACGTCTTCGGGGTTGAAGGCATTTGTTAACTGGAGTTTCTATCTAACTATGTTTTGCCTGTGTGCTCACGATGCTCGTCTTTATCGCAGCTAGCCATGTAATGTAACTCAGTCCAGCATAAAGATTATTCTTCCGGTAAGCACGTCTCTAAGTCTCGCCAATCGTTTATTCGTCGGACTAATTTCACGACAATGTCTAAGCTGACGTGCAGAGATTTGTAGCCAACCTCGAGGCACCCCTCGTAAGCCTCGTGTTGAAAGTCTGGTTGTTTGGAATTTAACAAATGGTTGAACCTGATGCGCAGGAATTTATTACCAAGGCCGCGCTACTTTCCCATAGTAAGCATTGTTATTATTGTTGGTAATTTGGACATTGGGCTTACTTTGAAATGAATTCTTACTTCACATGCAGGAATAGCAAGTCGGCGTCAAGAATTTACGTTGTCGGCAACGTCGTTGGTGTGCCGCCGCTCTGTTTCTGTTCGTGGTAGTGCGGGACGGGCATGCTGCATACGTTATTAGGTTGTTGGGGGCTTGCATATTTCTAGGTAATTAGGTTGGTAACCACTGGTAGAAATTGTGTATATCGTTTGTAATGGTGGTACATCAACTTTTATGAATAACATCATTTGATACACCAATGGTCAACAGAACAAAAAGAATGGATGGCAAGAATGGAAAATCATTTTCATACAAATCCAAATCAGCATCAAAATATGCATTGCAATGCATTTGACGAAACACTATATTGCATTCGAGACAACACCACCCATCGTTTTCCGAATGCTCGCGCGGAGTGTTTTGGCAAATGTTGTCCAAGCATTCGCAAAGTGTTCGAATCTTAGTCCGCACGGTATTTACACCCACTTGTTCGCAAAACGTTTGCAAAGCATCCGCACAGATAATTCGCGAACGTTTTGCGAGCACACCTTTTTTGCGATGTTGAATCTTCGACTACAACAAAATGAAAGCCGCACGCGCTGAGTATCGGGCACGCAACAGTGGCGGAATTCCTTCGGCCAATCAGAAGCCAAAAAACGGGACTCGCCAAAAATTGCGGATCTAGCTGGCGAAAAAGAAAAGATCCGAAAGCGGCCGCGGACTTCCGGAAAAAATAACTTCGACGTAGCTGATTCAACGCGAACAGGAGAAAATGATGGGGAAAAATCTCCACCCCATGACCAGTCTTTGCTAGAGGAAATCGCCGATGAAGATTCTAACTCCGCGAAGAAAGACTCAGCCTAGACGGGGAAACTCCTAGAAGACCCAAGAAATTATAAGGATTCGTTAAAGTTGTCTTATAATGATGCTTTAATGAAAACTTGTAATTCTCGAGGGGCTAGAGCCTTGGAGAAATTTCGGGAGGGACTCCAGAAGAAGCATAAAATTGTGGAGATCATACCGGTACCGGATAACTTGGGGACCAAATGAAGGAGTGTGGAAAGAAGCCGACCTTTCCACGGAGTCAACGTCCTCTCCCGACACCAGCCCACAACGACTACCCGTTCCCCAGGGAAGACGTCGGTGGAGCTGAAGCAGCTCAAGAGGAAGCTGGGGTTCTACAAGAAGTTGCAAAAACCCCGAACTCCTTCTTTGGATGCATCCAATTCGGCAACTTCTTCAACGTCACGCACAGTCGTCACGGAAACTTGGGGTCCTGGAGAAGAGCCTTTCTCCAAGTAGCCTTGGCCAGCGGCCAGCTCAAGTGTAGGAAGCAACGAATACTGGGATGTACCCTATGACCCAATCAATGAAACTATCTTTGGGTACTCCGAGCAACGCCTGCCCCTCGTGCTCGAGGTCATCTACAAAGGACGACGCCTCCAAGCACTCGTGGACAGCAGAGCATCGCACACCGTATTCGACAAGGCAACCATCGACCGACTTCGAGAAGAGTACAAGCCATCAGCTTTTTCTGCAACGAAGGTGGACAGCAGCAAGTTACCAGTGTACGGCGAAGCAGTGCTACACCTACAAAGCGGTCCACTGCGCTGGAAACCTGCTCTCTGTTGTGTGATGTCATCATATGCTATCACATTCTGTCTGCCTCCCATCCCATGTTTTCAACTTGCATGTGTGGTTTGAACGTGTGCAAGAATTTGTGTGTGGTCTGTTATGGAGTTTGGGAATGTGCTTTGTGTTATTTTGTTTGAGCAGGTATTTTGTGATGATAGATCTTGAGAAGATCTTTCCGACGCAATGAGGATCCCTTCAATCGGAGCAAGAACGCGAAAGCTATGAAGATTCAAAGTTCATGAGCTTGCGTTACAATTGCGGTGGTTACAAAGTGAAGTTGTGGGGTGACTCAATATGGATTTGGGACCTTTGGGGTTGGGGAAATTCGTCACTCTACTGTAGTAGCTGCAAATTCGTTGGAAACAACCAAGCTAGGTTGGCAAGGGTGGCCAACTTGGATGGATTGGTTGGGAAGGGACAAAGGTCTGAGTTGAGGTTCCTATAGGGAGGGAACTTTAAGCTTATGGGGTTTCATTGGTTGGGGACTCTCTTGGAACCTTCCCTCTCATCCCTCTCTTCCTATCCCAACCTTTCTCTTGCTCCTCTAATTCCATGTGAGATTCTTGAACCTTGATTGAAGTTTGAGATTGAGTTAAGCTCATCTCCTACAGCATACCCCCCAGTGCGTCGAAAACCATAGCGACGCGAATACTTCATCAATCAGTGTGATAAAAATTGGGAACGGTAGCTGAGATTAAGAGCTACAACATATCCAAGTTTCGCAATATTCCAACGGCTAGATTTTTGTCGACGACGTTTCTTGTGGAGACGATTTTTCTGTCCAAAATTTCGGATATATATTTTCAGTAATTCTAGCTCCTAAGTTCACCTAGACAACGTCCTTAATCCTAACACTCTCCCCATCACCAACATAAAAGGGCTTGACCTGATCTTCAGGCGAGACTTCCTCAAGAAATTCAACCACAAGATCAACTGGGTAAACCGCACCGCAAGCATCTACAACAAAGGAAGGAGAGTCCAGTTTCCCAACTGGGACGATACAGGAGATATCCCAGTAGAGACACTCGCCAGATTCGAGAAGGACGTGAAACGAACCAGCACCGGGTTCCTGGCATTAGCAACAGACGTGGAAAGGGATGAGGAGAAGACCTCGGAACCTCCAAGAGAAATCAAGGAAATACTAAAGGAGTTCCAAGACATTCTTCCCGACGACCTCCCGGACGAGCTACCGCCATACCGAACGCACCAACACGAGATCGTGGAGGAACTAGGTTCGAAACCGACCTTCCGAGCACCATATCGGCTAAGCCCTACAGAACTAGCCGACATGAAGAAACAGATCGAGTATCTCCTCGCCAAAGGACTCATCCGACCATCCACTTCGCCATACGGTGCCCCAGTACTCTTCACATCGAAACCGGACGGAAGCCTGCGCATGTGCATCGACTACCAGGCTCTCAACAAGCAGACTATCAAGAACAAGTACCCGATTCCACGAATCGATGATCTGCTTGACCAGCTTCGGGGAGCCACGGTATTTTCAAAGCTAGATCTGTGGTCCGGATACTGGCAGTTACGAATGGCGGACAATTCTGTTCACAAAACTGCCTTCCGAACTCGGTACGGATCGTACGAGTATCTGGTGATGCCGTTCGGACTCACCAACGTACGTGCAACGTTCCAAGCAGAGATGAATCACATCCTATGCCCACTCTGGGACGAATGCGAGGTGGTGTACTTAGACGACATCCTCGTCTACTCGCGCAACATGCAACAACACGTCGAACACATGTGACGCGTCTTAAAAAATCTTCGACAAGAACGCTTCTACATCAAACTACCCAAGAGCGACTTCGCTTCGAGAAAGTCCAATTCCTCGGACATATCGTAAGGGCTCAAAGAGTTCACGTGAACCCCAAGAAAATCGAAGCCGTACGTACGTGGAAGACACCCGAGAACGTGAAGGAGTTATAGCAGTTCCTTGGCTTTGATAACTACTACAACAGGTTTGTACCGCAATACGCAAAGATCGCCGCGCCACTCACAAATCTGCTAAAGAAGAACACGCCCTATAAATGGGAGCCACAACACTAGGAAGCCATGGAGCACCTGAAACAAGCATTCACGTCCGCACCTTTACTCATCTTGCCAGACCCCGAACGCGACTACGTCATTGAAGCTGACGCCAGCGACCAGGCAGTGGGAGCAGTCTTGATGCAAGACCAGGGGAATGGTCTGCAACCAATTGCCTACCGTAGCAAAAAATTACATGGGGCAGAACTCAACTACCCGATACATGACTAGGAGGCCCTTGCTATTATCACCACCTTCAAAACGTGGAGATGTTATCTCGAAGGATGCAAGACGACAGTCTACACCGACCATTGCAGCCTAAAATATTTGAAGACGCAACCAAGCCTCTTCAGGCGACAGGTCCGGTGGATTGACTTCCTCGAGACACACTTCCACTACGACATCGTGTACAAGCCCGGCCACAAAAACAAAGCAGACGCTCTTAGCCGGCTTGCGCACGTTGCCGCAATCCAAGTCAAAGAGATGAACCCACTTCTCAAGGGACTCTTCACACGGGTACACCATCGACCCCGAAATTCCCTTGGCAGAAAAGTGACATCTGCTACAGTGGGACAATGACATCGCGTACCGGAAAGGATCAATGAAAATCTGGGTACCTAATTACCCTTCTTTCCGCCAATTACTACTCGAAGAATACCACGACGTCCTGTACGCATGACACTTTGGTAGCAACAAGACGCTCACCGGTATCGCCAGACACTACTACTGGCCCCGCATGGCAGATGACGTACATAAATTCGTCACCTCGTGCACTACATGTCAGCGGATGAAGAGCAGCAAACAGAAAAAGGCGGGTCTGCTACAGCCCTTCCTGTCCCAGAACAGCCATGGCAAGTGGTAAGCCTAGACTTCATCACCGCGCTACCAACTACCACAAGCGGTCATGACGCGATCCTCGTCATCATTGACAAGTTCTGCAAAATGGGACACTTCATCCCGACACA